AAAAAAAAAAAAAACAATAGAAACAGAAGAAACAGTATTATCTTATATAATAATAATTTTCTGTGATTTTCTGTCTCAGCATTTCCTAGAATGAACCTTTCCTTGTAGTGAGAAACTACTACATTGCATGTGCCCATACGCGGTCAGAATATTCACTGTATTTCAGTATACTGAAATCAATTTCAAGTGTAACTATCTCACCTCAGAATTTAGGCAATTAGGTAGCAAAAGGTGAGCAGATGACATGACCAGCTACCCGAGCAACTGCTGCAAAAAGACCTAGCAGATGGGAACAAAAAGCAGCTGGTCTTTGCTTTTGGCTAAGACTACACCAAGCAGACAGTCTGATTTCTCAGGGCAAAGAATCAGACCACCACAGCAAACACAACGGCTGGAGGCACCATTGTTTTGCATGTGAAATAGCCCGATTCACCCATTCTCGCTGCTTTCTCTCCCCTTTTCCGCAGAAGGGTCTAGCTTGGGCGACAGCCAAGGATTTGGAGGGCTGGTGCCTTGTGGAGCTTCTCAGGACGGAACCACCGACTCTCACATCAGTTTGTGGCTTACAAAATGCTAAGGCTGCTTATGCTCAGGAAGGCACCCGTCCTCTCCACACGTCAGCAGCAATTCAGTTTTCAAATGATGCACCTAGAGTCATAACAGGCACTGCTGCAGATGAGCTTTAACATGTCTGGAGCAAGTTTTCACTTTAGGGAAAAACTAAAAGTTGACTAATAATTTCTGACATCTCGCCTATCATGTCATAAGCTTCTTTAAGAAAATAAGACACTCTTTCCTTTTCTTACAAGGTAAATTGTCATTAAGAATTAAAAAAAGAGGGGGAAAAAAAAAAAGGAACCTTCAGTGAAATACATATATTAGATGTTAAATACCACATGAATTCCCTGAAAACACTCACTGCTGTATATTCCTGCATAGYTTCCAGTAGCTGAGCTTGCAAGCAAAAGGTAATGGACTACAATTTGCAAACTAGATAAAGCAGCTCCTAGCAGGAGCGAGAGATCTCATGASACAAAACAGGGAGTTACCATATTCTTATTGTATTCAAACTATGCCAAACAATACTTTACCTTAACATCTGTCAATGCAAAGAATCCAATACACAGGAAAAGTTTTAAAAAATAAATATTTTTTCTCTCTGAAGACAAAGTGGCAAGTCTTTGCTGGCATCATTTTGTACAGTCGACAGAAAACAGTTCCCAGAATWAGGGATCGTGGCAGTTGAGGGTGATGGGGGGAGAGTACAAAAATGCAGTTGTTGGGGTTTTTTATTGAGGTCACAACCCTGACAGATATAAGACTTGCAATGAGAAAAGTTTCAGAACTGCTGATTTGGTATCTTTACCAAAGTGCTTCAGAAAAGCTGCTTTCAGGGTTTTACAGCAGGATACAGGAACTGCAAAGTAGAACAGTTTGGATAAAGGGGACTGATGCAGTAATTACTTCTACCTGAAATGTAAAGGACCCATTGACACAGAAAGCCACATCAGTGTAATGCCCATGCCCTGCTGAGAGAACTCCTATTCCAAAGCAAAAAAAGAAAACCAAAAATATGTGGATACTTATTTATGAGTATAAAGGAATTAGATGCTAGACTTCAGCTGTTGGAAAACCTTGCAAAATTGTTACTCATCTCTCTAAAAATCTGCATTAGAAACTATCTTTTTAGAGAAAGACTATACTTCGATATGAGAAAATAACTACAGTAACTTTGCATTTCTATTACTTGGAGACGGTGTCAAAATCCTTATCCTACCTTATCCATCCCTATATCCTGCATGAAAGAAAAAAAAATACATAGCTAGGGAGCTATTATGTATTATTTTATTTTCAGCTTCACAACTGCAAGCTAAGTGAATTCTTTCAAAGGCAGTAAGCATTTATTTTTTTTTCTAAATAGTGGTAGTACTCTTTATATTTATACATTAGTATGTATTAAATAGTAAGAGTTATCTTAAGGCAACTGCACCTTCTTTGCTACACAGGAAACAAAAGTATCATTTTTGTATGGCAGCCTTTGAATTAGGCTGAAAGGGCTCTAGGAATAGCTGAATTTCAGTTGAATAGACACACCTACTCGGGCTACGTGTATCATAATATAATAGATCTTACAGCTTAATTCCCTGGTGTTTGGTGCCTATATAAGGATTTTTTTGGGGAAAGGTGATCACGCACTTTACTAATTCTTCCCAGGGCCCCTCTTTGAGAGCAGACACACAAGCTGTGTCTGATTTGTACAGAAATAGAGCAAGTTCAGGGTACTTACAGAAAGGCCTAGGAGAAATTCCTTCCACCTCAAGATTCAGCTTCCAGATTAATGGTTGTCAATGCAGGACACTTGATTTTATGCATTTCCTATATTATAGGCCATCCCTTTTACTTTGCTCTACTTGAAACTGTCCCCAATTTATTACCTCTTACCTCTTATCTACTTCCTGCCCTTCACTCCCTCTAATCAAGAATGTCATCTCATTCCCACTATAATTATCCCATATTGGATTCAGCTCCATCTTCCTCCATGTCACAGAAAGGACTTCACCAAATTTTAACCTAGATGACCTTATTTTGCCCTTACTGTTCTTCTAGAACTGTAGGTTTTATGTAGGGGGAACAGAAATCTGCAATGTAATACAAGATGCCTCCGCTCCCAAGGACAGTAGAGATCCCAGTCATTTCTACAATATCTTTTTTTTTTTTTTTTAATATATGACAGTCATTATTTAATTGTGTCACATATATAACATGAACAAGTTTAAGAAGAACCAAAAGTTTCTCTCAGCTCTCATGTCTGCTGCTTCAGCCAAAACTCAAAGTTGTCAGGAAGAAATAKCCCATCAAGTTCTAGGGACAGTACCATATCCCACACTAGATATATTCTTCATTTCCYTTCCATTTCCCTACATGCTTTTGACTAACTCAAGAGGAAGGATATCTTATTACATGGACCAGAAGCCTCATCTATTTTACAACACCTCATACCTTCACTTCTGAATTTTCTGTGTATCATAGACATTAACAGGAGATGTTTCGTGATATAACCTGAAGAGAAGGACAGGGAGATCCTGATCTGGAAAAGGGCCTGGATCAATGAAAAACACAGAGCAAAGTATGCTCAGATGTTTTCTTGTTATATTGGTTAAGGAGGTAAGCAAACTACTGCTTCGAGCACTCTCTCTTTTATGAGTATGTTTTTGAATATTTGAGAGAAAACCAAAAATACACAGTATTAACCAAGTGGAAAAAGTACTCCTTCAACCATACCTACCTGTGTCAACCATATCTATCTGTAACATACTGAAATATTATAAAATGTTGTATATTCAGCAYATGTCCATCTATTCTGCTAAATACAATTATGTTTTACACAAAACATCCCTCCTTCCCCCGTAAGTGCTGTAATTTTCAAAACAGAGCCCTTAATCTGCCAATAAGCTTTCAATAAGGTGAGAAGGGAAAAGAGAAAATGGAAAGAGTAAAATAATGACTAAATATAATGAACATCAAAACTGGCTTGAATAACAACAAAGCTGCCATCTACAACAATATTTCTTTGGAGCGATTTTATTTACATAGCTACAGTATCTGACATGCTAATTTAACAATCAAATCCTAACACTGGGTTATGGAATTAATGAAACCAAATTAAGATAAGTCATGGCTGCTTCTAATTATAATGAAGAGTAAACATTGATACTTGATGGAATTTGAATTCTGCTATTGAAGGCATATATACAATGAAAAAGGGGAAAACATAATGAATAATCCCACCTACTACARCAAAGATAGATGAGTAAAGTCAATGACATTTTTGCTAATAAAAACCCACAGGCTCATAGAAATCACCTCTAGAGAAAAAAGGTACATTCCAGCCCAAACTTGTTCTCAGTACACCAAACTTTGAGCACGTACTTAAATGAAAGACAGATCACCTTATTATTTTGTGCTGAAGATGATTATAAATATAAAGGATGAATGAACAAAAATCCAGAAAACCAGAATGTTTTCTTAAAGTTGCCCCTTTCTCCATTCAGGAATGTCTTCTAGAAACTCACTGAGAAAAATCTTGTTTAAACATGTCATCAATAAAATGAGGAATTATGCAATTATATAGTTATTTTTTCTTAGCTAATCTAGTCATAACTCATACCATTTTTGAAAAAAAAGCTTTTTTTTTTTTCCCAGTCACACACTAATTTTTAAATACCCCAAATAAGTAGCAATTATTTAAGGGAAGAGATTGTGAAATGCATTTCAAATTGCATTTGTTTGAAGCAGACAAAGTATTAGACCTGAAGCAAAGCTTGTGTACCTTTAAAGCACGAAATTACATTACTAAATGTAATTTGTTAAATATTGTATTGTATTTGTTAAATATTGTTTACTAGGATATGGCAATGATAAAGCAGGTCCACTTTCTTCGACATGCTCTCTTACAAACACTGCACACGTGTGTCCATGTGTCCATACTACAGTTACATTCAGTATTTCAGCTTTGTTTCATGGAAGAAAAATGAAGTTTATCTTAGTGGTAGATACTGCTACCCTCTCTCTACAGAATCCAAGCACTGCTGTGTCCAGCACAGCACTGTCCATACTGATTATGCTAATCATAAAATCAGTAGCAATAGTCAAGTCCCTCATGAATTTCAGAGAGAAATGCTGAAGAACAAAATCTGCTAAATACTTTGTATATGCATATATATGCATATATATACACAAACACACACCAAGATAGATATATTAAAAAATACATCCTGAAAGAATAGCCAATTGTCCAAAAAAAAGCCAAGATCGAATTCTAGAGTTTGCACAAATAATAATGCAAAAATAACAATAATATATAACAAATCATATAATGAATAATGCAAAAACCAGCCCCTTAGGAGGGGTGAGTAAATAGGTACTCACAGGTATACAGTACTCCACCATTGGGTAATGCAGTTTGTGCCCCTTGGCCGTACGGCCGGAAAAGAAACAGCTCTGGCAGACGTCGTAGTTGAAATGCTTTAGGCTTCGGTACCTGYGGAGACACGGAGCAGCGGGATGAGTGCTTCCTAGGTTCACTGCTAACTCCTACCTGTTGTCAAGCGACCCTCTGCGACGGTGTCCACCGCTTCCCAGCAAAATCCAGGAAAGGGGCAGCTCTACAGATAAAATGCAAAGAGTTTGCCATTTTGGAGTTTATATTCTCTTAAAATTATGTGGCGTTAGTYTTTTACCTTTTCTTTAGGCATCAGTTGGTAGCTCAGAAAAAAAAGTTTACAAACTAGAGTGGTCAGAATGGTTGAATTTACATGCTTTAATATTCACCAGTTGTTTTAAATGTTTTTCCATCCTTTTAATGCTCAGAAATTCTACACTCATAAATCAGATCCTAAAACACATGAAACCTGCTTACTGTTCACGAAATATAAAGTTTAAAAATTTAGTAGATTTATTTAAAGATTTTTTATTTTTCATTTTTGTCACTATAGTTGACTAAGTTTTTTTTTTATATAGTTGACTAATTCAAATTTATGTTCTGCCCACTGCTTTTTACAGCATGCAGTTCTGATTGGATGAGGGTCTATCATTAGTATGAAACCAAAATGAGTTAAGAGARATAAATTGAATGGCTACCGAATAGTTGAAGTTTAAATTACATTGCTTTCTGAGAGCAGTTTCCAGCACCAATCCACACCTTTCTCCTGCTGAGTTTTACGCTTTGCTTTGCCACACAGCATGTGTGCACGAATGCAAAAGTTCCTTTCTAAGGATGCTGCTGGTTAGAAACTTTATTCAGAGCCTGTGTGTTGAACGGCCACATCCACCCTCTGCTAAGAAGCGAGATGCTTTTGCTGTTGCAGAGCTCTAGCTTCATTAGAGAGATGATTCAGGGTCAGTCATTCTTGTGTGTTCCCTTCTTCTCCGTGCACATTCGTGTTCTTTTGTCTTCTGTCTCTATGAACCCCTTTTCTTCTCCACCCAAGAAAGGGCAGCACAGAAAAGATTTGGCTGTCCTCACTTAACATCTGAAAGTTGGGCACCTGTGCTGGGGCTCAGTCACCCTTGGCTCCYTCCAGCCTAAACTGAGAACAGCAGAAATATCCAGCGGAATTTTCACCTCAAGACAAGTTTGATCAAAATCGTTGCTTCTAGAAGTGCTTTCCTCTCTATTTTGATAAAAAAGAGGGTCACCGGCCCAGTCTTAAAAGTCTGATTAAAGCTAGCACGCTCAAGGCTAGGTGAGATGAATCTGACCCCAAGATGCCTATATTAYTGTCCTTTAATACAACAAAAGGAAGGAAGAACAGAAAGCATGGGGAACAAGTGTGACTCATCTGCTTAGACACCCTAAGAAAARCATTAAAATCACTTGCAGGAGAGACCGTCCTACATAGCTCCTAAATAAAACATACAACTTCAAGAACACAGGAGAGCCTATTATGTTTAGCTCTTCTCCCTTACTTGGTTCCACATCACTTTATGTGCTGGACCAATCAATACACAAAYGCATGTTAGTCATACCAGAGCACACAAAGGCACCAACCATCCAGTGCTCACTGATAGTGCTTTGTACTAAGATCACACAGTTTAGCTCAATAACAAAGAATATCCCTGGAGCTATTTTTTTCTTTAAGAATTCACAGGCTCCCTTTGAACAGACCCAAGTTAGATTATGTGCAGTGCTTCCAGACTAGAATTGTGCACGTCTCATCACAGTAATATATTAACATTTACACCAAGCAAGGCAAGATTGCTGCTGAAGGGTCGCTTAATATTGGCTAGTATGAGTTGCTTCATTTCACAAACATTATTTGCAAAACAGTGCAGAGATGGCCAGTCTGTCTTCTCCTCTCATTCCATTTAAGATATAGATACGAACAAAGATACAATCCTTTGTCACTGATCACCTCCTTTTAGTATTTACACTTCATTTGCCACTTATTGGATCCATCAGTGCCGAAACACTTGATGCCAGCACTCCCTGCACACCTGYCACAGCCCCACCTGGTAAACAGCAGCAGGTCTGTAAGAGCCTGAAAGGCAGTGGCTTAAGCAAACAGGAAAAAATACCTGTTTTTTCCTGTTTGGAAAATGGGAGATGTAAATGGGGGGAAAACCCCTGCAGCCAGCTCCCTTGCCTCTTACCTGAAGCCAACAATTGGACACTCTTTGCAGATGTTGCACTTGGCCTGATGTTTTGCTGTTTCAGCAGCTGCCACTCTGTGTAGGACKGGTAGCCATACCATAGACTGGGGCTCCAACCGCATCCAGTCTATAAATTGCTTTACAGTAATTTCTGGCTTATTGTGGTTCTGGAGAGCAAACAAAACAAAAATAATTAAYAAATCCCACAAATATATTTTAATTGGAATTCAATTCCCCAAAACAACTCCTGWGCCATTTTTCCCCACTCCAGCCTAATGTAAAACCAGCTATTGAAAGAAAACAATTGAAGATGGTCAGTAAGAACACATAGGAGTAAACAATGAGGACAGAGGAGTCAGAAGGTAACAAAGAAGAAACAGTCATAATTAACCCACTTYGAATCAAAAGGACTTGAGAAATAGGGAACAGAACACTAAGGGGAAGGATGTTTTGTATTGCTGACACACCAAAATACGTTTGTTTTTTGACAGATGGGTACCAAATCGCTAGAAGTCAGGCCTGCCTGCATGGCAGTGCCAAGAGACTTGAGAAAAAAAAATAYTAAGTTTATTCTGAGCCCATGGTACTCCAAGTTAGCATGTCAAATAAACAAGCTAATAAATAAATACTAAAAAAGGAAAGTAAATGTGCCACTGTAAAGGCAAACACTGAAAATACAGTGCAGTTAAAATAAGATGATTGCCTAAGGAGCCAAACGCATTTACACATTCTAAGTTGCAAGCAAGACAGAAGCCTGGCTAAAAAGCAATTATATCAAACATATTTTGCAGCAGTCAGAACAGAGGTTGCTATTCTGAGCCCCAGTGCAAGCACACAGAGCACAACTTAGTTATTTTTGGACAGTAAGATATGACCAAGTATCATTTCTTTTCGGCACCAAATGAATAATTTGCCTCGCTGACTTCAACCACTGGAGGCCAGCAGTAGGTACGGCAAGCTCCCTCTCTTACTGTCTGCAGGGGCAATTTCAAAACCTAGCAATGAATCTAATAGTCCTGAAAAAAAAAGCTAACTGCATTTTTCACAGCACTGTAAAGAAACATAGAGGTGTCTAATGGTGAAAGAAAAACGCTCTACAAGTTTTTATCWGTTGGATTTAGTACAGTCACAAATATTGTTTAAAGTCAGGAGTTTTACATGTGACATAGTGATTTTTTAATACATATATAGGTGCTGACAGCACTCAAAGCAGTCGTTGCCTTAGAAACAACACACTTAAACAGTCTAGTTATCACTATCAAACAGGCAAAGCCCTCAGGCATCCTTGACAAGTTCTGTGTTTGGTTCTGTTCCATTAAAACATCTCTGTTTTTCCTCCCATCTTCTTTAAAAAGATAGTCGCTCCTTGCAGGCTCATTAACCCCCTGCATGTAGTTTGGAGCTGAACAGCAGGCCCACGACAGCTTTATTCTATGTTCTTGTCTGCAGCATAAAAGCTCAGGATACATAAATGACTATGCTTGAAATTTTGTGCATCTGTAAGCTCTTTCATGAGAAAAATAATGCTAAATAATTTCCTGACGTGCAGGGTCAAAAATTAGTATCAATATCATTTTCTTATTCTGTTGAGAACAGGCTTTGTTCCAGCAGGGAAAAGTATGTTGTTCTCACAGTATCAGGTTGCTCTGAAAGGTGCAAGGCAGGATAATTGGCTGCTACAAAAAAAAAGTTTTAACACCATTTGGAGCTGCCAATATTGTTATGACATAAGGATTTATAAATTCTTTCTGCTAGAAAGTAATTTGTCTGATCTTCTGCTGAACAATATATCATCTTTTACAGCTGCATTTTGACAATAACTTCCCACATTCACTTGCTTGCACATTTCTGTTCAAAAACTCACTAGATGTTTTTAAATTCCTCTCTTCGCATCATTCAAGAGTAAGTTCTAGGTCTTCAGGCAGAGATTTTTCCACCTGAAGGTTCGGCCCCTCTTACCTGCTGGAAGCAGCTCCGGACGCTGGGCTCAATGTTACTGCCGCCGAACGCGGCCACCTCCCCCAGCTGCCGCGGGATCTGGATGGCGTCGTGCAGCAGCAGGCCCAGCTGCCTCTGATCACACATCTCGGTGGGGCCGGCCACTTCCCTGAACAGATCTGCAACACAGAGAGGTGTGAGCTCCCTTTGGGCCATCCGCTCTCTTGTAGGCACTAACCCTGCAGCTGCAATTTTGTAATTTTTGTAGTCCAGACACGGTTACAGGCAGCCAGCTGTCCCACTTACAGCAGTTCTATTTATCTTGATTATTTTGCCCACTTTTTCTTAACATTTATCAAGAGTGCCAGGCCATATAAATTAAACTATATGGCATCTTACAGCATCTGCTAACAAAATTATACAGTAATAGTAACCTATGTAGTCCCTCATTTACTGAGGAGCAGCTATGTGACAAAATAAGAGAAACATCAGAAAACGTGAATAGCTTTTTGTTTTAATCCTACATTACTTAACCTCCTCCCTAATATTTATTGAATTTTCTTTTATTCTTGGCTATCACTGAGGAAGAAAAAAAGTGGTATTTCAGCAATTTCTACCTCATGCCAAAAGCCTAAGCCATCCTTGGACTGATTTGGGACAGAATGAATTGGCAATATGAAACAACTTAAAACAAGAGCAGCGGCCAGTGAAATAACTCACACTTAGTCATAACCGTATTTGCTTCCTGGATAACCACATCCACCTCCAGGCACTTTACTTGCATCGAATCCCTTTTCCTAAGGTGCATRTCCAGCTCTGTAGCGTAAGTGGAAGTACAGGGATGATTGCGACCACAGAAAAAATTGAGTCYAAAAGGATAAAGAAAATTGTTCCAGATCCAGATTTTTTCTGGGAAGTAGTTTTGCAAGGGGGATGTTGGATGGCCAAACACTTGATTCATCTGAAAATTAGCTGCCAAGCTGCTTAGGGGGGGACCTGTACTGATTCCTGGGGATGGATGACAGATCCTGCAATCCATCCTCACAATTTTTATTTCTCCCTTCTTTGTAGCATTACTCGAATGCTTCTGCCTAAATGGTTAGCTRCATAAACACTAGCAAGGTGCTCATTTAAAATGTTATTACATCTTTGCAGYTGATATGTGTTCAGAAGAGTGGAATGAAACGTATACACCAAATGTATGCACCTCAGGTGTGTATGTGATGTATCTCCAAGGTTTGGGAACTCTAAAGCTAGCTCTGAAGTAGCTCTTCCTCATTYAAATGGCATTCAAAGAGCTGAAGAGGCTTAAGGGAAACTGCAGGTGGTTGTATCAGGAAGCAGATCCAAGAGGCACAGCCCCAAGAYGTTAATATTTGTAAGACAAGATAAGCTTTCCAAAGCAGGAAGCAGCGATGGAGAAGTACTGCAGAAGTTCCATGAAGATGCTCCTGTGGCTCTAACCACTCATGAACCATGATATAGTATGAACTAATGGGACTGATTGCACTAGAGGAAGTATTTCTTAAGCTCTGACTTTATTAAAAAATGTAAATGGGAAAAACACAAAGAAATGTGTTAAACCTTTTGGCTACATGTTTTTATAGAAAAACAAGTCTGTCAGTAATCCTTGATTTWTTCATGATCTCTGCAGTTCGATGCATTCATATTTAGTCACAAGGTTAATATCTCCTGAAAATATCCTTATGGTTGGTATAAACTACAGAAGAAACAGAAGTGAATGCTTTGTATTCTTTCCAATTAACTTTTTCATTTTGCTTTTGCACTCAGTGGTTGGCTTCAATGAAAGCTCCCAGCAGTCTTAAAAGGAAGAAAAACAAAACCTGCTTGTACAATTCCCCTGCTTTTCACCTCTCCTACCAGAACAGCCATTAGAAATAAATAAAACTTTAAAATTCAGTCTGACTGCCCTTCTGATTGAGGAGCAGAGAAGCTTTGTTCAGAAATATCCAAGAGAAACTTTTTTATTACGCTCTGCAAATTGTTTTGTCCTTCATTTGCAGGAACTGGCAAGCCTTGTCAGCACCCTTCAAGAAAGATTGGCTATGCCTCTTCCTTCGCAATGGCGACCAAGGCAGAGGAAAGGATTTTCATAAAATAAAAGCCCAGCTGACCAAACTAATTTCTCACCTTTTTTTTCGGCTCCACTGTTGCCTGAAGATGCTGCAGCATCTTCAGCACTTTGTGGCGAGGGAAAAAAATCCCACTGACAGCAGTATTCACAGACCTACGAATGCAATTTTGGCATGTCTAAACCCTGGCTATATTTCCCAGCTCGCCCGGGCTGTGATGGGCGCTCGTGGCCCTGCACCCATCGCCCCAGCGGAGCCGGGAGCCACAGCCTGGGCGCTCTCACCAGCGGAGGTGACGCTCCCAGGCACACGCGGGATGTGGCTCGGTCTGTGTACGGGGGCACAGGGTGGCCCTGCATTTATGTAGTGTTGAACTGGGAGGGTGCCCGAGCCCTGGCACAGGCTGCCCRGGGAGGCTGTGGAGTCTCCTTCTCTGGAGATCTTCCAAACCCACCTGGATGCCGCCCTGTGCCCCGTGCTCTGGGTGTCCCTGCTGGAGCTGGGACAAGCTGGTTGCACTAGGTGATCTCTAGGGGTCCCTTCCAATCTCAACCACTCCGTGAGTCTGTAAACTGCATCAAGGGACTCGATCGAAAGGATGACTGTGAAAGCAAAAGCTGGGTTTATTCAGACTTGAGCCTCAGGGGGGAAAATAAAACAATCAGAAAAGAAACTAAAATCACTTAATCTAAAACTGAACAGAGCCACACTAGTACTTGAGGGATGAGAGTCAGTGGGACACAAACTATAATACTCGAACTATAGCACAGYCAAACAACCTCAAAAAATGCAGTTATTTGGCATGCAAAGTGTGGAAAAGTTAAGTCCAGTTTCCATCGAAATGGTTGAAAAAATGTCCCCTGCACACACATTTTGTCTCTTCTGCTGAGGTTGCTGAGCCATCAAACCACAAACCTGGCATTGTTAGACCTGAAGCATCCCAGCAGCTGCAAGGAAWTTAGGGATAAAGACGCCCTAATTACGCTGAATACGGATTTAATTAGAAATAGACAAAAGAGAAAATGTGTCACCATTTGTTCATATGCATGCTGTACAAACAGGATGCACAGATTTGCAAGGATCACAGTGTTATTTCCAAATGGTTTGAAGATTTGCAACATGTACCAAGGAATAATTTTGATACATAAGGAAAGCAAAATGAACTGGTTCTTTCACAGTAGAGATTTTTCAAGTAGTCCTTCTTATTCTATACCTTTTATTTATTCAGTGATATTAAATGATATGACCCGAAACCTACAGAATAAATAAAACATTTCATGAATGCTTTCTGTTTCAATTGCTGTTCCATCTGGGCTTCACGTCGAAAATGAGCTTAAGATAAGAGCAAAACACAAAACACGCAAATGTACTCCCAGATGTTACACTGTGATGGTACTGTGGCTTTTTTCTACCTCTAAAACTGAGGAAAAGGGAGAAAAGATGAAAGTTCTCTTGTCCTTCAATAAATTTGTACCTGTGAGACAGCATTTGTACCCTGAATACACGACCAGGACTAAAATCTGCTATGAATAATCGTACAGACAAATTTAAATTTTTTATCAGTGCAAATGCCTACTTATATGATTGAAATTTATTTTCCAAGAACATTTGTGACACTAAAATTGAGTAGTTAAAAATGTCCCTTTTTTTCTGTGACATTCAGAAGTCCTGCCATAGCACGTGAAGAACTGCTGGTGAAAAGAGCAAAGAACAGTGAGCACTATTTCTTGAGTGACGAATACTTGAATTTCTTGAATACTCAGTGAGATCTGAGTACTTCAGAATTAGAGCAGATTGCTAAGGTATGTAACATGTTCTACATGTTCTGTCATATCCATTATCTTTTTTTTTAGGATTTTTGTTCGATTTTTAAGTTCTAATACTTACACTATCAACTAAACAGTGTGCCAGGACGCCGGGGTGGCCAGTGGCACGTTGCCCCCGTATCCGTCAGCTGCTAGAAGGGAGCACAGCATGCTCGGGCCAAGGGCAGCTGCCTCCTGCTCCCAAAATACCTAGGAACAGTCTGAGAGGGAGTGAGGGCCCAGGTTCATTCCCAGCAATGAGTTCACAAGTGGCCACCCTGCTCTGGAGACTAATGAGAGTTTAATAATATGGATATGGCCAGACCACCTCATCGGCCTCAGCAGCCAAAAAGCAGCTTTGGACTAGTTACTAGCTGAGAGGTAGCCACAGCTTGGGCAACAATTATGTTTGCAGGCCCATCCTTATTCAATTTTATGCGTGTAAATGAATAAAATTCATCGGAGGTTAAGCGCATCCTTAGATGTTTTCTAGAACAGGCCTCTTTAATGAGGCTTCAATGTTTCTTTTTTAAACGAAAGATTCATTCTCATGTCAAACCGAGGCCTAGTATCTTACAGACTTCCCCACAAGGGTAAGACAGAAAGAGGGAGATTGCCTGTATGGATAAGTTGACATTAGCACTCCTAATCACATTATCATACTGTTAGCATTTTCCCTTGCCATGGATGACATATAACTGACATAATTGACATGAGTATTTTCCAGTCAGGACATACATCCTGACATAAGTATGATAAAAGGTTTACCACGAATTTTACTATGATGTACATTAATATTACATGTAGCAACTACATAAAATAAACATTTTATAAAGTATTTTCTTACTTACATCTGTACTTCTCTTCCAGGAGGCCCTTAGAAAGAGACATCAGGCCAATCTTGAGTGACTGCACTCGAATTTTTCCAGTTCGGCCACTGAAGTGACAAARAGCAGACCGTTCAATACATTTTAACCTTATTACACTCGAACTCAAATTTGTCCTAAATGCAAAGTCACTGGTGAATTCTACTTCAACTATACTTCAAATCTCAAAACAAATTAACTCTGCAAATCATGTTAAGAATGCTTTCTTTTTTTAAAAAAAAAAGCTCACCTACTACATGTTTACATGTCAAAACAATTCGTATTACTCCAAAAGGTTGAGATTTAGCCCTGTAAAACCCACAGCAAGACTTAATAATTTGATTTACACAAAAAAACTACACAAGAGTAAACAGCAAGAAAGGCTCTTTCTCTGTGTGAAGTAAGGACTGCAAAATAAACCGAACTTTCACACCACAGGAATTCAGCCTTTTTGTTCACTTTATTTCTTCCCTCTGTGTCTGAAATGCGGTGTGCACGTGCAGCAGGATGCAAACTGCCAAGCACACGCAGTAATCAGAAGCTGTTCTTTCCAAGCAGCATGCCTTCAGGCTCCTGCTGCCCAAAATGAAACAGAAAAAAAATAAATAATTAAAAAAAAAAATCAGAGAAACTTGAAAACAGCTAAGTGGGTTCCAAAGCATGTGATTTTAAGCCTGCGAGGAAAGCATTATTTAAACAGACACTAAAGCAATAAAAGCAGGATACATGGAAAAGGATCATCTTAAAGTTCAAAAGCTCAGCACAAGAAACAGATTCATAAATGATCTCATTATTTCTGCCCTCAAAGGCTGAAAAATACCATGCAACTTGCCTTGGGATTAGACATGATAAACAGAACATAAAAACTGGTAGTTAAACTCTATATAACCATACAGAAACTCCCGCACTTAAAGGTTAGTGGGGTTCTTCACCGCCAAGTAAAATAATACTAGAACTAAAAACATCCAACCATTAGTTCCCTTTTGTCATGCACAGTGATAGATCCTTTAACCACTGCTGGAGTCGTTATCAGGCATTCCTTTCTGTCCTCCCCACTCAGTGCATGGTCTGCTGTCCACAAATTACTCCAATTTACTAAAAATTTACTCCACAGATGCTGTGGTTGAATGCAAAATCATTAATTTACTCCCAGGTTCTCAGTAAATTAGTCAAGTGGCTTACAAATATTAATGCATTTGTCTTCACAACCATCACCTAATCTTGTGAGACTAGGCAGTATTATCTTCTCTATTCCACAAGCTGGAAAGAGGTACAGAGAAATTATTGCCAAATTAATCAAAAGTGTCCATTAGTTTAACTGCCTAGTTTGAAAACTAGGAGCCAATTTTCCAGAATGTTATAAAAGTGCCAACTATTTTATACATTCAAGCTTAGTTTCAAATTGCCTCTTTCAATCACAGACATGACATCATCCTGGCATATCCTGACTCGTAAATGGTTCATTTTCTCACCTTGATAAAGTTCCCTTACCATCCTTCCCTGCCCAGGGTTGTCTAGGTTGTAATTTTGTATTCAAATGAAAAACAAAGCAGAACATCCACTTGGGTTTGATTTAACTCAGAATATTTGCTTAGGAAAGGTGAAACTTACGACTTGTAGCTAAAAGTCAGGACGTGTGTGTAAAGACATCAAACTCCTGATTTGAGCAGGTCATTACAGTGATTGTGAAAAACTTCCTCAGCACAAAAAAGCATTCCCTCATTAAATTATAAACCAGAGTTCAACAGTCTGMAATATGACATTTGTCTAAAGCGCAGTGTTTCTCCCTCGCCTTCTCTTGGAAACAGCTAACTGCTATGGCTGCAATAACATGTACATTATAAAARCAACACCACTACAGGTAGATTTTGTGGCACTGGCATTTCCCAATTGAGTAATTTAAGTTACTCCAGTCTACAGAATCATAGAAAGTGCCTCTGAACGGCAGCTCAACTGTCTAGCTGTGCTGTGTGTACAAACACACAACATCAAGTCCTTATAGTGGCAAGGACCAGGTAACTTATTAAAGCTTCAATTCATACAAATGCAGGGCCAAGTACTTTGAATTAAGTGCCAGCACACTATCAAGATACACTACTCAGCAATACAAGCATGCTTATCATCACAAAGTCAACTCGTAAGACTATTTTAACAGCTCAGATACTAYTTGCTCTTATCTTGATAAAGAGGAGACATTAATTAGTTTAGAGCAAAGTTGCTGGTTAATGATACCGGGAGCGACAATATAAAAATGCAACATTATTGGCCTCTGACCTATTTGCAAGGAAAAAAAATGGCAAGACAACTATAGCTGCTTGACAGAAACACTCTTCATGTCCTCTACAGTGCAGATGCATTTCCAATCCTCCCTTTTTCTCCCAYGATTTACCGCTGCCTTTCTTCTCCTTTGCCAAACTAAAGGATTTTGAGATGGGCGGGAGGAGGAGGAGGGCAAAGAGAAGTAAAAGGAGGAATAAAAAATCATCATGATTCTCTAGATGATTTTCTAGGTGTTCCTGCTGTTTGTGTAGGTGTCAGCCTGTATGGCCAGGTAYCACACCAGTCCTCATTAAGAAGAATAATGTTAAAGTGCATGTCATTTCCAGGCATAAGAGGCAGGAGACCAGGCTGAAGGGCACATACCACAGAGAGGACCAGCTTAGAGGGGATCATTAATCTAGGACCTTTGATCAAGGGAGAGGGCACGGACAAGGCGTGGGGTTGTACCAAGCTGCACGGGAGAGAAGCTGGGGTGGGAGTTGAGCACATTCAGTTTGGCTGAATGGTCTGGACTCCCCCATCTAAGCGGGCAGCAACTATTCAGCTGCATCAGACAGAGGGAACCCAAAAGCAGGGACTCCCAAATGCAGGGAAATAGAGAACTGCTTTATACACTAACTGATCGCTGCCACTGCTTCCTACTTACTTGACCGAGAAAAAGCCGGTGAGCAAGAGATGGCCATAGCATCAGGAGATCATAAAAGATGAGGAGATCTTTTACCTTGTRTCTTGTTATAGGAGATACTGGAACTAAACAATGCAGGAACAAAGTTTTTCTAGCACACAGCTAATAGACAACAGGCCTGGCTAAGATCTGGAACAGGATATATTGTCACCACGTCTCAGGAGTTCCCCTTCTGATCCTATAGCAACTGAGCCCCAAACAAATGAAACAYCTATAATCCCAACCTCACTAAAACAAGGGCTGCGAGGAGCTCTTGGAAATCACACAACTTGCCTTAGCCCTGATCAGCCACAGTGATGTCTCAGGTGCAGAAGAGCTTGTTATATCCTAAAACTAACTTTTCTGTTTCTGCTCAAAAACCTAAGACATTAATGCAAAGTTAAAATTATCTGAAGATACATCTTCCCAGAAAAATGAATTTAGTAAACTTTCTAAAAACCCTCCGTCGTGCAACCCTCCTATACAAACTTTATTCCATTCTCCAATTTACACTCTCACACAGAATTTCTTGCTGCTTTTCAACAGCACTGAAAGGGAACAAAACTTATTTGACTGTCAAACACAGTCAAACATAGTCAAAACAGAGGCCTGTGACATCTATAAATTACAGCTATACTAGTAAGAGTACAATTATATATTAGGATATATTATGTAAATATGTATCAGGATATATATTGTTACCAATCCTGATATGCAAGTATAATATATAAATGTTTTATACAAGTATGTGAGCAAGGTGACCTCCAGAGGGGCAAGAGATGATGGGCACAGCAGCACATAGGAGGCATCCAAGTAACAAAAGCTGCCACAGAGAGGCTAAGATTAAGTCCCAGAGACTTCAGATAAGAATAAACAAGAAGGACGACTGGCAATGAAACAGATGAACAGTACCAAGTGCGGAGGAAACCCCTCGAAACAAGCTCCCAGCAATGCAGGGAATGTGACTGCAGCGCGTGTAGAAAATTCCAAGTCTTCCATCAGCTGCCATAAGAACCCAGGCAGGAAAGAAAGGCTGAGTGAGCAGGTCTCCCATCCTCTCCTTTCTAAGTTTCTGTGAGCGTGGATTTGCAGAATRTAACAAGCTGGTGAGCGATGGGATATTAGCTCAGCACTGGGATATTCAACACAGCTTGCCAGACTACCTAACGAGGCTGTGATCCTTCAGAAGGGAACTGGGCTCAAAGATGATCCCCAAGAACAGGATCCCCAAGAAGAGCTTTACTCCTGTGGGAAAGGTCAACGTACGTGGCGTCCCATAGATATCCAACATGTCCCAGACCTCTGCGGCAAGGAAAGCGCAGGGACAGTGCAACCAGCTTCCAAAGAATGCACTACCACAGAGTATCCTAACATCAAAAAGCAAGAAAACTAAAAAATTTAAATTCTCGTAGGAGAATACAAGGAACTAGATACACACTGCAAAAGATTATAAACAAATAAATAAGCAAAAAAAAGTAGCTTTTTTAATGGATAATTATTGGATAATTCCAATTATAATAATTCTAATTCCAATGCCAATTATAATTCCAATTATAATTATTGGATAATTCCAACAAAAATAATGACTCATCATCCACAATTAGTGCACGTGCTCTATATTATATATGGCAGATTTTAAAATATGTTAAACAACTGATTTCAAGGGTTGTTACGTTTTACTGGTTTTACTGCTAGTCCTGAGAACTATTAATGCCATTTTAAAAYAAATGACTTTTGGAAGTTTGGAAAATTTGCAATATAGTCCATGGCAACAGCAGCTGGCAATCAGTTTTGGATGATTCAGTGGCAGGCCTGGCCAAATGATTTAATACAGCAAGCTTTTTCTCTTACAGTTCTTACTGTTTTTACTAAACTCCATTAATTGTATTAACTGGATTAAAAATAATCCTTTGGGGAGAAAAAATAAACTAACTATAAGCTTGAAAACTATTAACGGGGTAGACATTTCTGCCTGGGACAACCTTTAAGTCCTTGAGAAAGTAAAAGTCACTCAGTAAATTTAATCTGTTTCTCTCCTCTATTCAGCCTGAAGAATGAATCATTCCTGATGTGTCAGAAAATACAAGAGCCCAACAGACCCTGTTGTTGTCTAGTATTTCTAAAAATAAATTGGTTCTTTTTAGTGCCAGAGACATCTGTAGGTAAGTCTGAGGAGCCTCCTGCTTTGCCATCAATCTGTGAGTTACTAATTAGATCTCAGGTTAACAGCACGCAACGAACAGRTGCTTTTTGCAGGAAATTTTATAATCTGCAACACTGTATATGTATAACAGCAATGCAATAAACAATGGAAATGCCAAGAGACAAATTAGTTCATTTCTGAAGGCCAATTAAAAAAAAGGGGCAGTTTAAACTTGGTGCCTGTTCTTTCTGCTTTTTTTCTTTTTTTTTTTTTTGATTTGAAAGAGAAGAAAGGAAACATAGTGGAAAAACTAATTTTATTGCCAAAAAAAGCTCTTGGTCTTTCATTTCTCCAAGTTTGAAAGGAGATTAAAGTCTTTCATGAGCTCGAGGAGTTCTCTCTTGCAGCACCTTCAACACAGCAACCAATAGGGAAGAGCRACAACAGGGAAGGTGGCTGAATGGGAGCAAGGCTGATCACTCACTGCCTGCATGTGAAATACGGCCAGCTAAACCACTGGCTTCTACGTGACATTGGGAAACAAGGGTAAGCCAAAGGAAAAATACGGATGAACGATCAATTTGGAAATGAAACCAAAATAACCCCCCCAAAAATAACAGCCACTAAAATTCTCTGACACTATGAAGTCACTTATTCTATTTCATTCTGTTGTTATCCAACACATCCAGGGCAAACAAAACACTTGGTTTACCAGAGGATTYGCTGTTTAATCATCCACAATACAGAGCTCGGGAAAATAAAAACACTTGCTGAAAGAAGTGYCAGGCAATCTCCAATTTTACACCAATAGTAAGGAGTCCAACTAACAGAAATGTCCCTGTACTAAATACATATACTGGAATAGCAAAGCACAGCAAGAAGTCACCATGTAGATGATAAATGGTCACGGGTGCTCCCTTCTCTCCTCCCCTTTCCACCCTCAATATAAAAAACACAAATCAAAACAAAATCCCTAGGAAGCTCAGGCCTGTAACTCTTCAAAAACATGTCTGTGTTAGAATTTGGCACTGACCGAGTGCACACAGTGACCAAATGAGGCACAGTTCAAGAGGTAACAGTTGTCTTTTGCAAAGGTGACTATAAGAACCTCCCTGGTAACTCTTATCATCTCCTAATTGAAAAGAAGGAAAATATTTTGGACATCAAGCATGCAGCTTAGAAGATATAACAGGATTTTGTGTATATCTCTGARCATATATTTGACAGAGCAAAGCAACCATCTAACCTATAGCACTACCATGTCTTCAAGCAACTWCAGAACAGTCTGAGTGTAGCTAACYTGAAACGATTGAAATACGGAGGTAGTTACAGAAGGTAGACAGATTTCAGGGATTGAAGGAGCTCATGAAAACAAGGCCTTTTTCCAAATTAGGAAAAACGTCATCCAGGAAGGGGAATCAGAATAGTAAATACAATTAACTATGAAAAAATGAGTGATAAACTCAAGACTCAAAAACACAAGCAGGGGAAGATGCACTGGCTGCAGGTCCATGTTGGCTGACATAGCATGGCAGGGGAGCATAGAGGACAGGGCCCGACATGCAGCAAAGGGAAGGACTCGTCTAAAGTGCAAGGCGTGAAATTGTTCATATTCTTTGAAATCTGGTGCTCTTGAGCCAGAGGATGCTTACTTGATTGAAGCCACAAGTCCCTGCTCCCAGGATCCTGCATCCACTGGATGCCGGTGGATCCTGCAGCTGAGAAGTGGGACAAAGTGGGAGCTGCAGGCACTGGAGCAAGCAGGGCCAGGGCACTGCTCAGGCTCCAAAATCACAGGAGATTCAGGCCTGAGAACTAAGCAACCATCACAGGGAGGATTCCACACAGGGACTTTRGCCAGGATTACAGCATATAAGCAACTACAGGGAAAATAAATCACAGAGCTCTCCCTGTTTGTGGCAGGAAAGGATCTCGTACGACTGGAAAACATTCTAGGCAGTGAGGGACATTTACACTCAGAAAGGAACTTGAGCAGCAAACACCRAGCAAACATACTGCATTCTCTAGAGACCTATACATTTCCTAAAACTCTGGGGGGGAAACTCGGGGGGAATTTTCTGTAGTGGCTGGGTAAATCCTACATACCATTTAGCACTGCAGTATAGTTGAGCAGGACAGCATAAGAAACAGCTCATTTCAAGTAAGTGCACTTTCTTCACCRAGTCAAAATTATCAAGAGATTTGTTTTTTATTATATATTTATGGCTTAAATTTATGATTTTTTTATTTACGAAAAAAAAAGTTCCATCAAATGCTACTGAAGAAATTCTATCACAAGGAACAGTTCCTAGAAAGTAACTGAGGAAAAAATACACCACATGTGGTCCTACAAGTCTGGCACTTTTCACATTTGCATTACTTACCTATCATACACATTGAGCAGCCAGTTAAGACACATGTCTACACAGAGGGGAACGTTCACCAGCTCTTTGTGTTTTTCTTCAAGTCCACTGTAGATGGTAGTGAGGCAGCTGATCACATCCTGGACACCAATGAGCTGGTCGTTTTGACTCAGCTTGTGCTGTTTGAATATTTCACTCGTTGTGTTCAGGTCCAACAGGTCCACTAACCAAAAGAAAAAAGAAAGAACACAAGTGCTTGAGCATGGCATACCTGTTCCCTGACTTCTCACCTARCAAACACTAAAGACAGATTTTTAGCCAACAACTAGGTAGTTTCCCTTTGGTAACACTATATGGTAAAAATGCTCTCTCTTACAAGGAGTTAACAGCATTTTGACTCTATATGTTTAAGAAATGAATAAGCAAGAAAAACACAGTGACACTGCAGAGCTCACAACATAAAAAGCTGCTGAAGATGCCTGCATAATTAGAGAATTGTCACCTCAGATGTACACACTGTGAGTCCACTCCATTTAGAGACTTCTCTGCGTCTACCATAAAGCAGGATCACATCCAATGACTATCATTTTTCATCACATGTAAAGCAGAGCAAACTTTTGGGTAACAACATTATCTAAAACGCAGGAGGGAGATACTAAGCCCCAATTAACCGAATAACAGTTGCTAAATGAAGGCTTAAAAGAAACTGTGGAGAGGTACAGGGTGAAGAAAAAAACGTTTAGGAAACTTTTTCCAGAATACTAAAGGCTATGCTTTCATGCAAAATATTTTGATTTTCTTTATCAGGCTCAAGATGCAAGCCTTCCCATGTATTTGTATGAGCAGTTTCTGATGTCACGGACTTCTGATGAGCGTCAATGGTCCCCCAAACCATAATCACATGTGACTGTAACTTTGCAAATATGGTTACTGGATAGTGAAAATTAGAAGTKGTTGATGAGCTCTTCTACTTCTTCTGCAAAACAAAATTAAAATGAAACTAATTTTGATGCAAAGGAAGGCCTAATAAAAAAGTTGATATAAGCCCTAGCACTATTTTTGACATTAAAAAAATGGAAAAAAATTTAAAAAAAGGTGCAATATATCACTATGTTTGCTACAGTATATATGATATGAGGTTGAAATACATTCTCAGCTCATGCAAAGCTCTTTCTGAGTAGGCAGTAATGCATTTGCTCTATAAATGTCATTTCTCAAAGGAAATGAAACATGACAATCTCTGATGTGTTGTAAATTGCTCTGCTCCAATAATGTTAAATAAGGACCCCAGAAGGGCAGCCTGTGCAAATCAGGTAAATCCAGCTYGAACTGAAAAATAAGTTCAAGGAGAAAAAAAAAAGCAGCAGCCAGACGAGACCAACCACCATGGCCAATTCTGTCCAGCACTCGGCAAGCACTCAACACTCACGTAAGGTTATAGACCAAGAGCAGGTTACATTCCCAAATCCATTTCCCCAGTTTACCATTCTCAACATCCCTGTAAAATGAAATCCAGTCCCTCACATTCCTATTTTTTTCTCCCTCACTGACACTGTCCATTTGATTCTAACATGAGACCTGCAGGAGGTTTTGTGGTTGTTTTGTTTTATCGGCTTTTTCTTCGAAGTGCTGTCCCATCTACTGGGGTGGAAATGAAGGCTAAACATGTGTCTCCCAAACAAGGTGATGTCCACATGGAGTGTCCATGTTAGGAGGGAAGCCCAAGGGAGCTGGGATGATGATCTGTATGAGGAAGAGAAGTCTGGAGGGGAGAGGGGTGGAGGGGAGGCGTTATTAATGCCAATGAATTAATGCCCTGAAGGGAGGGCATCAAGAAGATGGGCCAGGGTCTTTTCAGCGGTGCCCAGGGAGATGACAAGAGGCAGTGGACACACACTCAAACACAGTCAATTCCATCTCTTCCTAAGGAATAGCACAGACTGTCCAGAGGGCTTGTGGAGTCTCCATCCTTTGAGATACTCAAAAGTCATCCCGGACACGGGCCTGGACAATGTGCTCGGGGTGTCCCTCCTTGAGCAGGGGGGTTGGACCAGATGATCTCTAAAGGTCCCTTCCAACCTCAACCACTCTGTGATTCTCTGGCCTGAACTAGTAAGAAAACATACCAGAAATGGCTCACAAGCATATTTAAATTGTAAAACATGCACAACGCAATGCAGCTGATTTTATTTCAGGAGCCAGGTGCAAAGCTCTAACATGCTATCAAACAGGCATAAGCACGACATTCAGAACGGAAGGAAGAACAAGACACTTTAAAGGGAAAATCTCTGTAACTAGCTTTCTCTTTTTTTTTTTCCCTTTTTTTTTTAAATACACTTAAACTTCTAAAAGCGGCTTCCTTTAGGAAGATTCATATCACTTTCTTTTTAAAGCCAGTACAACTTTCCATTGCTTTGGAGTGCCAAACTGTTGCAGCCTTTTGGCTTAGCTTAGCAGAGCCACCCTTGCCCTGCAAACCGCCACGCAAGCAGACTGAGCAGCAAACTTCATGGCTCCACCTGCACTATTAAGGTCTCACATTCACACTCAGATGATGCCAAAGGAATTAAGAGGCAGGAGGGAAATATACTCACAGTATCTTTCTCTATAAAAGGAAACTCTGCGACTGCACTAATGTGAAATTAAGCAAACTGGATACTTTTGGATGACACTGCTCATGGAGAACAGCCTGAGGAAGCTATTTCTGTCCTTCCTTACTTCAGTGCTCACCTGGCTGAGCTGAGTGGAATTTGGATAAGGATGGTTATCCTGGTAGAGGCTGCCCACTAGCAGAGCTCCCTGCTCGGTCCAGTGGYATGATGTTCTCACTACACTTTAATTCCTGAATGTTTTAACTACACTGCTTTTATGCAGAAAGGGAAAGCTAACCTGAGGCTGGCTCAAAAATGCCCATGCTGGCTCAAAACCTATTGCACACAGCTCTTAAAGTAGTTTTGTAGTGTCAATCTGCATCTGCTTAAAATATGCTGGATGAGTCTCTAGTTACCCAAATGAACGGACATTGTGGTCACGTCTCTCCTTTCTGGAGCAAGGAGACTTTCCCAAARGAAAGTTATAAACAGCAACCACGTCACTCAGCATGGTTCGAGCAGGTGTATGCGAATGACTCAGGAGCAAGTAACGACTTGCAGCTGCCAATGGCAAATTTGAGGCTGCTGCAAACCCCACAGGAACTAGGCAGACCTTGCTGCGAAGCTTCAGCATGGAAAAGTCCTTGTGAGTGAGAGCAGCGCTTGCAAGAGCCCCGCTGATGGATGGAAGCCTCCAGAGCTGCTCCCTTCAGTCCAGGCTGCCTCCCTGTGCCCTCCTTGGCCTGCCGCGGTTGGCATTCCCATCAGCATTCTCACACTTTACATCACTTAAAGAAGTTCAGTGACAGGATGCTGAATATACGCGGCATTCTGGTTGTCCTTCTGCCTTCCAGTCCTACACTGCAGTATCTGGGGCAAAATCATTTGCTGAAAAGGAGCTCAGGTTTGCTGCAAAAGAATAAAACTGTACTCAGAGCCCAGTGCTCCGTGACTGCTCTGTACAACTGCAACACAGGGAATTCTCTCTGGCCCCTCTCTCGGGCTACAACAGGGAAGCGATCTCAGCCTGTGTGTTCAASAACATGAGACTGAAAAGCTACTCAAGAAGTTGTTCTTTCCAAAGCGCATACTTCTGCAGACTTCTACAAAATAAAGAGACGTATTTACATACAAGTATCACTCTGTGCAAGAATCTACCTTCAGGAAGGAATGAGAACTATGAAACATGACTCTACCCGCTTGTTTCTAATGAGAGGGGAAGAACTTGGAAACCTTGATTTTTTCGACACTGACAGCAAAGACTTAGAAGAGAGTTTTGCACCTGTGAAGTTTTCCAGAGCACAGTTCTGAAATGATGCATTCCCCAAATCTGCTTATACACAGCACTGGTACTGTGTCACCAGGCCTCACTGCAAAGTCAAAACCTATCAGGCACAAGTGGGACTGTGCCCCCTGCTTCAGCTTTGCCCTTGCAGCCTGTGCCAAAACGGCCCTTTCGCTTCTGTACACGCTGCAGCTGTGACAGCAATTTGTCACATTTTACAATTTACAATGACCTCATTTTCTAGTGATTTGTTTTGACACCCTCTTTGCCTTAGTACATAAGGCATCCAAATGCCTTTAAAGAACATCTGTGGTTAAAATTATGGCAAATGCAATGGAAGCCTAAAGTAACTCTGACCAGAGAATGAAGGATGAGCACAGAAAACAACTCTGTCCCTACATTAATATAAACAGCTAAAAACAAGAAAAGAAAGAGTCAACAGAAAGAATTCTCAGTCATGCTTAATCATTCTGCCCTTTCTCAGGAAGGAGTGTTAGCAGATACTGTGGCTACTTCAGCCCCCACTCAGGGGAACAGAACGAGGCTGAGAATCCCTGCATTCACAGAGAACTTCAGCTGTTCTGTCTATAACCATCCACTAAGCAAACAATGACACTACGAATAGTATCRATATTTTTTTTTTTTTAAGACTGTCTTAAAGTTGAGCTGGAGTAGAGAGAGTTCATGCTCAAAGACAATTCTCATAAAATCTAGCTCTGTGATTCTGTCTTTCATTAAAAGCCACACTGTTGTGCTCTTGCAGATTACACCAACTCTTGATAAACTATGCACACGTATTAGAGACAAAGGGGTTTTGGCTGCTGGGAGGAAGGACAGCAAGTCCTCAGCCTTCCTCCTGAGACAGAGACAGGGGACAAGAGACAGAGGGGCAGACAAGAAGAGAGCAGCAGAAAGCGAGAGCGATGCGGAGAGCAAGCGAGAGCCAGCAAYGCGAGCCAGTGAGGCCGAGGAGTGCCAGAGCAGGCAGGAGACCGTGCGGGAGAGCAAGAAAGCGAGGGCAAGAGCGAGCAGAAGATGCCAGGCGAGCCACGGGCTGAGAGCGGACCGAGAGGGGGAAGCTGAGAGCAAGCACAGGAGCGAGAGGCCAAGAGGGCCCCACTGAGAGCGCGGGAGGCTGAGAAAGCGCTAGCAAGTTGGAGAGGCTGAGAGCGAGTGAGCGGCCTAGTGCAAGCAGAGCAGGGCAGAGCAGCGCGCGGCGGCGAGACGAGCAAGGGCACGAGGCCGAGTGAGCACAGGGATGAGGCCAGGAGCGAACAGCTTCACGAACAGCAAAGCAGGAGGGAACTGGGGAGGCTCTTTAAAACGACAGTCTTCCCTCTGTCTCTTCCCTGCTGCTCCTCTGCCTCCTATTCCTAACCTCGTCCCCTATAAACCAGAGACAATACYCACATAGGGGAGGAGTTAGGAACATGTGAATATGGGAATGTTTATAAAAAYTGGTATATTTTGCAGATAAGGCAAGACAGGAAGTGTGCTCCTTCTGAAAGCTTCTCAGAGGGAACGAAAGCCAAGTTTGTTCAGTGCAGGTCGCCAGAGCATCTGCATGCCTGTCAGGAATGCAATCAGCAGCACCATTAGCATCRTTAGCAGGCAGTTGGTTTTCACTCTTCCCTGGAGAGCTGCATGCACAAGGAGAATTTTCCTTTGTTTTCTGCTTTTTTTTTTGTTTGTTTTTTATTCTTTTCTCTTTTTAGATACTTGCTGATAGGTACAACTGAATGTTGAAAGTCCCTAACGCTCTGTGTTTCTGTTGGGAAGCCAACCCGGGTGGGACCACAGTTTTAACTCTTCCACAGACAAGCTTTAGGCTTACATGCTACAGCAAAGATCCATTTTTTCACCCATTGCAAGAACACAAATTACAGGCTCTGCTTTTTCACAAAACATAAGACTGAGATGTGAAGGCCTCCAGCTTGACTGGAATTTCTGCGAGGAGCCTGCACAGGTCAGGAGCACCGGTGACAGGTACTCCCGGAGCCTTGTGTGCTGCTGCAGAGATGTGCTCAGCTCCCTGGAGCAGCTGGCTGGCGTYCCCAGCACAGCTCCATTCGCTGTAATGCACTACTGAAGCCCAGCCAAGAAGCTGGTGCCGAGATTAAGCTGCTGTTCCAAGGCTGTAAGGAAACGTAGCCCCCTGTGAAGACTGCTAAGTGAGCACATATGCATTAGTGAGAAAACCATAATGTGCGACCTGAATTAACCCCTTTTTTTCAATGAAGTAAGACTGTACTCCTCCAAACACACTTTCGTGTAATTTAAAAATGATTCACACTGCAGGAAGAGAAGAGAGGGAAATGAGGATGCGCTGCATGCAGATTGACAACATTGACAAGATGGTTTTCAACTTTCTCTTGATGAAGCTCAAAAATCTAAAATACCAAGCCTAAAGATGACTTCTAGTGAGCTAGGTGCCAAAGACGCAGCTAAGGTTAGGCTTCTGCACAAACTATGGACAAAAAGTTCCGCAGGAACTTAAGGAAGCATTTCTTCACTGTGAGGGTGACAGAGCCCTGGAACAGGCTGCCCAGAGAGGTTGTGGAGTCTCCTTCTTTGGAGATCTTTAAAACCCGCTTGGATGCAGCCCTGTGCCACGTGCTCTAGGTGACCCTGCGTGAGCAGGGGGGTTGGACTCGATGACCTCTGAGGTCCCTTCCAACCTTCGGCATTCTATGATTCTATGATTCTATGAAAGTGACAGAGCTACCACTAACTTTTGTTTGTTTTTGGTTTAGTTTTTTTCTTTCTTCGCCTGTGTACCCTCCCAGAGCGCTGAAGCCGACAGGCCCTCGGGCAGCCCCAGGCCAGGCAGTCCTGCTGCCAGAGCGGGGCTGAACGAGCGGACACCCCCGCTCTGTACAACTTACTCCTCCCACTGATAATCTGTCAATGAGAGACCCTTGCTCAACATTAACGTCCTTAGGCTTACGCCGACCCACCCTCCCTTCCCTAAGTCCAGCACAGAAATGCTCCGTTGTCTCGATGAGCAAACTCACAGCACAGAGCTTTCTGCAGTCTTCGGATCTTGATGGCCGTGCGGTAGGCAGAGAAGCGAACGTTGTTCAAGTCAGCTGAAACCACAGAACAGAAAGGTGAACAGCCTGAAAGAGTGTCCGTACGTTTATTCTACATACACATTTTCACGCTCCTACACATTGGAAAGCATCTGATATTATTTCACTGCAAAGAGGAGAAGAGACAGGACACAACATTTTTGAAGAAATTAAGACAACTGGGAAGTTGAGACTCATTCTAAAAAATCCACCTCTCTGGCATTGAGAGGCCAGGGCTCCGGTGGCTGCCACAACAGAGACGCTCACGCTGCTGTCCTGGCGCACGTAGTGCACGTACGTATTATGGAGCGGGGAGAGCTAGTTTCCTGACAAGTGTTAGAATAAAGTACATTTCTTGGTGAGTTTACAAATCCATCAGACACATGTCTGAGACAGGGCCAATGAAGGTCACAGTAGCTGAGAAAAAAAAAATTAACTTTGACTTTGTTAACGACGCTTTGACAAGGACAGTTGGGCGAAAGGACAGAAAGGACAAGCTATAAACAATCTATTTTAGGAACTGATAGGTATAGGAATATTTTTCTTCGGTTAATAGCATTTTATCCTTCCACTCCCTAGAGAGGGAGGTTTCACAGTAAATGCAGATGTTAGCAGGGCATGTTGAACGATCTGTTCCCTAATATGATCCAGCCTTTATTGATAGTGTAGCTGCTCTGATATATTACCAGACTTAGTTCCCTGCAGGCTGTGCATCCTGCCTGCACAGAGCCCACATCCTTGGACAATCCCGTGTGGATTTAAAAGAAATAAACAAGATAGAGCATTAAAGTGAAGAGTCATGGCATATTATTCAGATTTAAAATTACTCAAAGGGAATACACACTACATGATCAAGGCAGCATGTTTCTGGCAAAGTGTGTCTGATCACAATGTGAGAAATGCTTTGGTATGTGCAGTTCATGGCAATTCAGACATGGTTTGCAGACAAATGCAGGTTTTAGAAAACTCACAGAGCAAATACTATACCTATCATAACAGTTTATGTTAAGAAATGCACTCACCTAAGGACTGGAAGAGTTCAATCATTTTAGGATGATCCCAACAGGTTGTTTGTGTCTGGTGACTACAACGGAAAAAGATAATCAAAGTTTAAGGAGATAAACAAATACACAGCCTAAGGAAGGAAACAAAACCACAAAATCTTCAGGGTTTAAGAGGGAAAAAAATCCCTCAGGTCTTATATCAAAATACGTGATCTATGTTTTGATGCTCTGATGTTTTTAAATCACCAAGTAGCTTAGGCAATAGTCCAGCTACTTTTTTTTTTTTTTCTTTTTTTTTTTTTAACATTCTATAAATACTTTTGATTCTTTCTAAGAGGGATGGTATCAGTTCTGCTCTGATTTTGAATCTTAGAGGTACATTAACAAGGTAAAAACGCCATTTTTGCTGCCAGAGCACTGCAAAAATATTGCAAAAGCTCTTTAAAAATCAAAAGCATAACAGTTTTTATTTCAGAATAGGGTATATCTTAACACTTCTCAATACATATGGCAATCTTAATAGGTACCTATAACATATTTAATGAAAAATCCTATTCTGTGCAATTTTCAAGCACTTATCTAACTCGTATCTGATTTTAGAGCATGTTCTACACTAGTGCTCACAGAATAGGGAGAATCAATAGGCAAAATCACTTAATCCACCATTTAGCACTGCTGTTTAATTCACCAAGGTTTCAGATACACAGCCATATGAACCAAAAGGCATTTTCCCTTAGGTCTGCTGAAACCTCAGTCTTTCTGTGAGCCACATTTTACTTCTATTTCTGCAAATCCACTGCCAGGATGATTGTACATTTTTGATGCACAAAATGTTTAAATTTCAATTAATTAGTTGGAAAATTCATTAGAGAAGCTGTGTTGAAAAAAGAGCACATCACATTCCTCTAAAGAATTATAAAGTTAATAGTGAAAATAAAATGATGCCAAGTTAGCAAATTAAATAGTAATGACCTCAGGATATATCTTATTTCATCTTTGCTTTACTGAAGGAAAGAAAAGTGATCATGGACACATGCATCTTAACTGCTGCTGCCCTGGCTCCTCAGTGATTTTTCTGCAGAGTGAAACCTTCTCCAAACAAAGTGAGAGCTGAGGGCCCTTCTCTGCATTAGGTTTCAAGACACTCCACCTGAAAGTTCATGTGCTGGATCCCAGAGCAGGCTATAAGCCCCACTTCACACAAGTGTTTCAGCTCCGGGCCTGACCTGGCTTCTCTCCGTCTTTGCCAGGCTTAACTCTTTCTGCCAGGTGTATCTGGCACCATCGAGTCTTTGTGGCATGTTTGCTACAAAGACTAACTTCTATTCCTATTAACTCGGTATAAATWATATCTTCTGTGAGGCACTGAATGTACTTGAAACAGTTCCTCAGAGCCCTTCCTGATTCGGAATCTCACTGAAGTTCATCTTAACCTTTGGATGCACTCGCAGCTGGAGTATGTATTTTAATGCTTTTCTGAGAAGATCTACTTCCCTGAGCCGCGACTTTTCCTGGCTTCCAGTTTCATAATACCACTAGATCTCCCTTCATGTCTCAAGCTATGAATAGGGCACTTGGGCCTGGGTATGTTCAGCAGAGAGCAGAACAGCAGAAGAGACCTCCAAAGCCTAACGTACGGCTTGAATCTATTGSTATTTTTACTTTAGAAGTTTCTAGAAGGACAGTTTACAACACCACTATGCTACTTTTTAAAAAAGTCACTTGTAAGATCATTATTTCCCTAGCAGGTGCACACCAAGAAATCATTTGGTGTTTTGCCAGCATTAAGGCCGCAGACTGTCKGGCATTCTCAAAAACCTCAGTACAACAACCAATTACAGCATCTCAGAGAGAAGAACACATCCAGTTTCTGTAAACAAGAACAGAAAAACACAGTGTCATGCCTTGTATTGATCAACCCATTAGATAACCTCAAAAACAATCCCCGAACTGCTCCGGTAGCGAGGATTGAAGTTGCTGGAGCAACTGCAGCTGCCRAACAGCACCATTACCACGGTAAGTGGGCTGCTGCCATTACCATCCTAACCATTTGGAATTGGTTTGTGCCGTCACAGCCAGCTGCAGGCATCCACCTCCTTCATCCGGTAGGTCATCAGTTCAATAAAGCTTGTTTTAAGGATACGCCTTCAGCTCAACTCCCCCAACCAAAGAGCGGGAAGAAAAGAAAAAAAAAAACACAACATGCAGGCTAGCGATTTTACTGTCAACAACAGAAGTGAAAAGGATTTCTTAGCTCCTGATCAAAGATTCTGACTTGAGAGACCTTCAAATTTCTGTGTTAGAAGAACAGATAGATAATACTTAAAAAACCATATAATTTTCCCTCGCTATTTTAAATGCTAAAGTATTAGCACAAATGCTGCATATAAATACATGCTTGAGCTGAATCAAATCTTGTTACTGCTTCAGAAGTTCAACTGCTTTCAAAGAAATCATTCATGTTAAAATCAGCATGAATAATAAAAATAAGACCTTTTCCAAATCACAGCCTCTGCTTCACAGTTTACCATTTTCTGGAATGAGAAAATATGCTGCCATGACGAAACCCGCTTTGTATTTGTGAGGCGTTGCAAAAATCCCACCTGGGAAGTGCAGCAGACTTGCAAAGGTTTATTGGCAGCAAATGTCCTCCCCATACAAATAACAATGGACTTGTAGCAAAGGCTGAATATTTTTTTTTCCTTTCTGGTAACAAATTGTTAAATTCTGTTAGATCCAAAATAACCTTTTTTTTATTTAAAGAGGAAAAAAAAAGGCAAAGTATTGGAAAAAACTTTATTTTTTTTTCCAGAAATATATCTACATAGTGCAGTACACTCCGGTAATGTCTAACAGGGGTTGGATGCAAAACTAAATGCACCTTCTAAGCAGTTTATAAAACTGTGAGGAGTTGATATTACTAATCAAATCTTTTCCCTAAATCAGCTTTAAGAAAACCTTTCATTTAAAATGCCTTTCAGACAGTCTCATTATTAAAGTGTATACTTAAATACATCGCTTCAAAGGCAATTTTATCTGAAACATTAAAGCTGTTTTAAGCATGACAACAAGCCATGCAAAACGATGTTACACTTTCCTATTTTATGCAGATTTAACATGAAGCACAGAAGCTAAGCAGCCACCCCACATCTCTGTACCCTGCTCTAGCATCTACTTTCTCATCTTAATGTAGTAAAAACTGACCAGCTAAACTTTCTCCTTGTACAGAAAAGCAAGAACACRGTATGAAACACCCAAGAATAATGACCAGAAAGTATTTTTGGATTTCTCTTTCCAATAGAGGCAGGAATACAAGGMTGTGTAATAATGGGCTTTTAAAACCCCTCATTCAATTCCTTTATACTTCACATATGATAACTACCTGCTCCTAGGATTATAAGAGAAGAGAGGAACAGCTTCCTGTGGAACTGTAAAAGGGGACAAATCATCCCTTGATTAAGGACTGTCTAAAATTACCTGAAAACTACCTGGCAGCTACTAAACAGCTGCATGAGGTGACTGTGACCATAGCAGCTTCATCTGAGGAATCCTGCAAGAGCATTTGTCAAACAAGCAAAAGGAGCAAATGATCCCACGGGCTGCTCAGGCGGGAGGAGGCAGCACCTCACCCCTCCTGCCCTCACACTGTCACTGCCACCATTCGCTACCTCAGCACAGCCCACGGACTAGACCTTGTTTTCAAGACAGCAGACAAGCCTACATTGGACACGGCCGGGGGAAAAAAAATGTGACTATAAGTTAAATAAGAGGGCAGAGGGAGAAAGTGGTCTCAACAGTGACATTTCTTAACGCAATATTTTGTTCGGTAGCRGTTTCATAATATGCAAGGGCTTTTACGTGCACACAAATTGACTTCAGAGAAAGGGAAAAAAAATGATGTGCAGATAACCTCCCTCTGCTACAAATAAAATTGTCAGACTAAGGAGTCGTTTTATTAGGAGCTCCACACAGGAGGCAGGCAAGACAAAGTGCCTCTGGTGATTTGGTTTGTAAAGCAGCTCTCTGAAATATGGTCTATCCTGTGCTGTAGCTACAGTAGCTTYTGTGCACTGATACAAGACTAATGCAAACATCAACCTCTGAAAAATGTGCTCAAAAAAACCAYAGCATTGGATGGTCTTGAGCAGATGACATGGGCTTACTGAAAATTGGGAGAATCTTTCTGACAGGGAAACACAGTTCCTTTTATGCAGGTTCCCAGCAGAGCAATCTATTCCAAGATATGTTTGGCAGTGGCTACCATCGCATGTCCATTACTGCCCAAATGCTAAAAGCAGCTTGGGACATTTCTCTGCTTCTCCGATAGCTTGCTCGGTATATACAAATAAATCACATCTATAAGAATATATTTTTTAAAGTAAATAACTAATTACACACTCACATATTTTCCATATGTGTATGAAAGGTGTCATTCTCACAACACTGAAATGCACACCGAAGCTGTGTGCCCTTCTCACCAYAGCACCCAAATTGCTCCAGTCACTTTTGGCGGAGCTCCTGCTCAGGAGGACAGAGCTCCAGCTCCACTCACGTGCGCTCCCTAACTCCTGGGAAGCCCAGGAGGCAATCCGTGCAAACTGGAGGGACTGTTTTCCCCATACAGACACAACACAGTGCCTTCAGAAAGTTGAGCCCTGAGAGGAAACGCTCTGCTACGAGTGCGCTGAAATGTCATTTTGTGTATTTCCCTATAGAAAACAATCTGGAGCCCTGAATGCAAGAAAATTTAAGCTTGCAGAAAAGCTGGGAAATCCAGAAGGTAGAAGCTGATCAAAATTTGGAATGGGCTTGAACGTTAGGTGGTATCTTACCATATTAATGAGAAAAGTTTATCGTTTTAGTCATTTAACCAAACTTCTGGAAAGGAAAACGGGCACTCAACAAACCTACACAGACTTCCTTCACTACCCCAGGTTTGGTGGCAGTTCTGTCCCAGGTTTCGCTGGGAAATAAYTTTTCTTTTGCAAAGATATTTTATGAATTTGATTTATGCTACTGTTATCAGAACATTACTCAATTCAACAGTTTTGTAGAACCTTGTCCACAATCAATTGAACTG